AATTGTCTTTGTTTTCTTGGTGAAGATTAATAATTGTCTTTGCCCAATAGGTTAAAGACTTAGTGCTCTTATTGGCCTAAGGCAAAAAAAAAAATAAAATTTAGGCTTTGGGCTTACAAAAATGTCAATTTTTTTTGTTGAGTACATCGATATTTTTACACAGGGAGAGGGGAAGTTTGGTTAAACCACACAATGAGCAACCTAATTCAGTATCGGATTTGTCATCCATGAGATTCGAACCTAAGACCTTTCACTTCCAAGTGAAGAGGAAGAGAAATACCATTAGATTTTACAAAAATGTCAATTAAATATTAAGATTTTACAATTATAGTACATGACTGATTTCTTTCCCACTTTGAATCATGTTTGTAGGACATGGCTATAGACTATAGCACACAACTAGAATCTTTAAGTTCTCTACAAGTGAGTCTTTCGCTCCGTGTTTGAGAGTTTTTCTCACTTTTGTGTGATTCGTTCAATCTTGAACAAATCTGGTGGCACCAACCCTAGCTTTGGCCGGGGTAGGTTGTCGTTTCCCCCTTTCTTTCTTCATCTTTTTCCCTTACTTCTACTACTATTCCCCCCCCCCCCCCCAAAAAAACAATTTCTCCACCGATTTGTTCTGTTCCTTTGTCCTTGTGGGTATCCCGCCTCCTGGCGTATCCATATTCTGATTTTTAACCATGCATCCTGTTGAGATCGTGTGTAAAGTTCCGGTGTTTCCATCACCACCACCTTCTCTATGTTGTCTGCTTTTACCGGCAGTGTCACTCGTGGGTTTCCAAGTTCATCTTGGTAGTTGGCTTCTCTCGTTTAGTTGTCAGCTATCCTTATTTTATGGCTATGCTCATGGAGCAGATTGGGGTTGGATGTTGCGATTGATGAGGCGATGCTCGTCTCTGGAAGAGGAATTGGATGGATCGTGTGGAACTGTGGCGGCGGAGATTGCAGTAGAAGATTCTAGTTTCTGTGTTCCTTGGTTTTGGGCCTAACTGTTGGTTGGCTCATTTTGTGTTTTGTTTTGTATTTGCCCCGTATTTTTGTTTGTGTTTTTAGGTTTACTTTGGGCCTTTAGTTTGCTTGTATGTATATTTTGGTTGGTAATAAAAAATACAACTTTTTACCCAAAAAAAAAAAAAAATTAAAGGAGGATATAGTCCAAATCTTGGACTGAGAACCCATATTAAAGAGTTTGAGCGTCCCAAATATAGCTTTAGAGGTGTACGAAACACTATTTTTTACATTTCTTACATTTTTTTTATTTTCGGTTATCGGATTAAATGAATTAAAGAAGATTAATTGATAAAAATTAACAAGGGATGTGTGAGAAGTAACAAAGGATTTGTGGATAACATTACTCTAGTTTTACTATATTGATTTGACACATTTCAACATGCTCGGTCTATATGGAGTATTTGTCTGGTCAGAGTCTCCAAGCAGCCGCGCTTACGTGTTCGTAGTACCTTCCAACAACAAAGTTGACAGAAACTTTCAAATTTTGCTTGCTTTTCAAGTTAATGGAGAAAGTCGTCGGAACTTCAACATTATCCTTGCCCGGCAAGTTAACAAAGCAAAAAGTCAAATTTCTATATATGCCACTAGAAATATTGAGCAAATATACTAACTAATCAACGAACAAAAAACAACTCATATCTCTCTTGCTTTTTGTTATTCATTTCCCTTCCATTTCTACTTTACCAAGCCAAGTCCAAACCGATCAAATGGCCATGTTCTCAGCTTTTCTCAATTGCTTCTTACCGTCTGCATCGTCGCAGGTCTCTGATAATGCAAGAGGGTCTAATAGCAGCGTAATGGAGCATTCTTCAAAAGACTCCGAGAAAAGAAAGTCACAATCATCGTTATCATCATCTGGAGCTCCCATACTCGTCTCTTACTTCCCCCAAAATTCGTATCTCTCTCGCTTGTAAAGTTGTAATTCTTTTTTCTTAACTTTGACTAGGTATAATAATGAATCTGATCGAATCATTATTATACCTAGTCACTTCTTCAATCTGATCGAAGAAGGATATACCTACTTTCATTGATCATGATGATATGATCATGAAAGTAAGTATACCGTATATTAAGTTGTAATTCTTTTTTAATGAATCTCATGCGTATACGGTATACCTACTTCATGATCATATCATCATGATCAATGAACTGAATATATCGAGTTCACTTCGCGACGGCATCAGTGACTCTGAGGGGGAAGTGCCCTGGATGACAGTTCGCTAAGCAGCTTGTGGCAGACTGAAGTCAGGGAAGGAATTTACGATCATTAAAAAACAAGTGGGAAAAACAGCATTGGAATGAGTGTTATGGCTTGCTGAAATGTTGAATCTATCTAGCTATCCTGTACTTGGGAGTAGTTTCATGATTTCATGTTTATATCTTTCTTTTTGTAATTCTGGGTTTGATGTTTATGTTAATTAGTGTGATATTTCAGTTTCCTTAAGAAATAATAAGAGAACTTGAAGTTCAATTATTCCTCACGGATTGTTTTTAATAGAGTTTTTTTGTACAAACCAAGCTCAATAAATTCCTAAGGAAGTAATGCAAGTAGAGCACATTACTTTTATTTATTTTTCAATGACAAACGTGAGATTATTTCATGGTATAAACATCATAATTAAAAAGAATTATTTATACTGTTTATTATCATTTAAAAATTATCTCTAGAAAAACTCATTAAATTTGTAAACCGTTTAGTCATCCATACATATATTGAATAAATTGATGGTTATGGTAAAAGTAACGCAGTATGAACTTTCAATTTGTTTGATTCATATATTTCAAACCAAATGATGATAAAGCGAATGAACATTTCTGATTCAGATGATGCTACGGACATTGCCATTCAAGCAATATCCATCTGTATAGGCATCTTATTTGACCTCGATTCTCCCATATTTGTACACTTCCTTCCTTGGTTGTTTGTGATGATACGCGTGCACAACCTTGGCCTTGTAGAGGTAAACCGTACCCAAGTGTGGCATTACGTATTAGCATCGTGATTTTTGGTAAGCATTTCTTGTTTTAGTGTAATTTTAATTCTTCATGGTTGGAGATAATATGAGAGAAACGAAAAATAACGATGCTGTTAAAAGAGAAAAATGGCAAACACATACTATTTTTTTCTCTTATACAATTCTGTTTAATTTGGTCCATTGTTTTTACTTGATTTTTTTTCAATCAATGAGCATAAATAAAGAGGGGTGCGTGCCTGAGAGACTGAAATGGTGTTTGAACGGGTCTTTGGTGTCTATCAATTTGTTAAGTGCATTGGTTTGCAACTGCAAGCCTCTCTTGATAAATTTACAATTGCATCATCAGAAGGCCAGGAATGTATGCGCGTGTTTGAAATTTCAAAGACACATCATTACCTTTGAACCACATGTGGTCCTATCAGAACCCAGAAAATGACATCACCTTACCTGCTGAGACTCTGAGAGTGACTTCCGAAATTGACAGGTAATTTTCTTGGACAAGGATTGTCTGCCCTCTATTTTCGGTTCTTTTTTCGTGCCCTTCTTTTTTGTGTAATTAAGATTAAACCACATCAATATTTTATATATATATTTTTATAAATATAATAAGACAAAAATAAATAGTAATATAAAATGTTGACGTAGCTTAACCGTGATTACACAAACAAAAGAGCACATGAAAGGCACCAGAAGTGGATGCCAGACAATCCTTGTCCAATTTTCTTTTAATCGACTGTCTTCTTACAAGTCCATAAAACAACTCAACCTGAATTCAAATTAAAAGCCAAACGATCAATTGACCAGACAGAGAGAGAGAGAGAGAGAACCAACGCTTAGTCTAGCTTTACCATGTTTAGCAGATAATGGTTAGGTAGGTCCTACTAATTCTTTTTAGTAGGTGTCAGCGGAAAATTTGCACATTGCTTCTGTAAATATATATATTTTTAATAAAAAATAGATCATATCAGACAGATGCCTACCTTACGTTACTTGTAAACTTAATCGACATTGAAATTTCAACGTACTTTCTTCCCATGTTTAATCGCCAGTCAAAGCGTGAGGTGGTGATTTCAGTGAAGGGGACAAAGCCATCTTCCTTGCCCTGCAAGTTAATCTACAGATATTTTCCCATTTCCATCTATAAATGAATCAAGGACATAACCACAACGTACTTAACAATTATTGAACAACTCTCATTATCTATATATACATCTCTCAGTTTCCTCAGCTAATTGAAGACTAAAGCAAGAAACCACAAACAGTTACGTCACCTTGCTCTTTCTAAGAGTTATATTGATCGAAAAAAAAGAAATACAAGAGGTCCGAAGCGAAGATACAATGGCGGTTTTCTCAACTTTTCTCAATTGCTTCATGCCATCGTCACAGGTCTCCGATGCAGCGGCAGCTGGCTCTGCAAGTTCAAAAGTGCCTTCTTCAAAGGATTCCAAGAAAAGCAAGTCAAAATCATCGTCATCGGGAGCTCCTATATTAGTCTCTTACTTCCCCCAAAATTCATATCCGTCTCGCTTGTAAATCTCATGCAAAGTAATATGAAAGTTTTGGCGCATATGGATTAATTTCGAGATCCATAATATTTCTCATTCAGTACGTTAGATCTTTCTCTTAAGCAAGTGAAAAAGTACATAATTATAATAATTACTTTTTTATATTTGTTAAAAGAGAAGACTATTTCTCTTTAGTATAGTATACGATTCATTGTAATCATGATTTATTAATACAAAATCAGAGTTTTTCAGTTTACTTTTCTCACAATTGAACTTTCCTAACAACCAAACAGGTTAGGGTTTGTTTGCCAAAAAAAAAAAAAACAGGTTAGGGTTTTCATATTTGCCTCTACAAAAGGTACTTTTACATGATCTTTATAGATTTGGAAAAAGCGTATGATAGGGTCCCAAGAGACATTCTTTGGAGGATTTTAGAGAAGAAAGGAGTAAGAGTAGCATATATCCAAGCTATACAGGATATGTATGAAGGAGCAAAGACTGCCGTAAGAACTCATGAAGGACAAACCGAAAGCTTTCCCATAACTGTAGGATTACATCAAGGCTCATCCTTAAGTCCTTACCTTTTTGCGTTGGTAATGGATGAGTTAACAGGACATATTCAAGATGATATTCCTTGGTGTATGCTTTTCGCAGACGATATAGTGTTGATAGATGAAACTTAGGAAGGGGTAAATGCAAAACTTAACCTTTGGAGAGAAGTGTTGGAATCTAAAGGTCTTCGCCTAAGCCGATCAAAGACAGAATATATGGAGTGCAAGTTCAGTGCAAATGGAGGCCAAAACGAGTTAGGGGTGAGGATCGGAGATCAAGAAATACCAAAGAGCGGCCGTTTCGTTACCTAGGATCTATCTTGCAAAAGAACGGAGAATTAGATGGAGATCTCAACCATAGAATACAAGCTGGATGGATGAAGCGGAAGAGTGCATCCGGCGTGTTGTGTGACCGCCGTATGCCACTGAAGCTCAAGGGAAAATTTTATAGGATGACAATAAGGCCGGCGATGCTGTATGGCACAGAATGTTGGGCGGTGAAGCATCAACACGTACACAAAATGGGTGTAGCGGAGATGAGGATGCTTCGTTGGATGTGTGGGCACACGAGAAAGGATAAGATTAGGAATGAGGATATCCGGGGTAAAGTAGGAGTAGCTGAAATTGAAGGAAAGATGAGAGAAAATCGGTTACGGTGGTTTGGACATGTGCAAAGAAGGCCTACTGACGCTCCGATTAGAAGATGCGACTATGGGACAGAGGCTCAGGGCCGAAGGGGTAGAGGAAGACCTAGGAAAACTTTGGAAGAGACCTTAAGAAAAGACTTAGAGTACTTGGATCTAACGGAGGACATGACACATGACAGAACACAATGGCGTTCTAAGATTCATATAGCCGATCCCACTCAGTGACTTGGATTTTCCAAGTTTCCAACCGAGTAGTTTTCCTCACTCGGGAAATTAAGGGAACACTACCTCAACCTACATGCTCCACTCACAAAGCTTCAACATACAAGCTTCAACAAAAGAAAATTCAAAGAACTTAGCGAAGAAGGCTTTGGTGTATGTAACACAATACGTTGAAATGAAGGAAAACTTATTTATTCATATCCCCGATAAGTTACAAATATGTATATATACTTGAGTCAAAATAAACAAACAAGAGGGAGCCTTCACAAAGGTTGCTTAGGAGAAGTCTCAGCAGTCGGTAGAGCCCCAGAAAGAGAAGGCACCGGAGGGGGATCATTCGGAGCCTCAGTACTGGACAGAACCCTAGAAGGAGGAGGCATCAGAGGTTGATCATTTGGAGCTTCATTATGCGGTACAGCCCCAGAAGACGAATGCAATAAATGCCTTTGGAACAAACCCACAAATCTCTGATGATCAAGTAAAACCTGACCATCAGATTCCTTCATCTGGTCAAGCTTCCTCTTCATGTTTGTAGCATAGTCATGTGCGAGCCGGTGCAACTGTTTATTCTCATGCTTGAGCCCTCTAATCTCCTGTTTGAGACTCATCACTTTAGCTGCCAATGATTCAACTTGGCGGGTTCGAGCAAATAGGCGTTGGGTCATATTAGACACAGAACCTGCACACTGAACACTGAGAGCCAGAGAATCCTTAACAGCCAACTCATCAGACCGTTTGGAAAGTAGTCTGTTATCTTTGGGAGTGAGAAGGTTCCTGGCCACTACCGCAGCGGTCATATCATTCTTCATCACGGAATCCCCAACGGTAAGAGGACCAGTAGGGGAGACGAAGGATGGGCGCCATATGTTGTCTGGAGAAGGCGGGGCTGCCTCTTCAACAAGGTTCAAGTCAAAATGACGGTCGGAGGGGCCAGACATTTTCAAAGGTGTTGAAGAGAGAAGAGGTCGGACAAATCAAGATCTTAGAAGTGCAAGAATGGAGCTTCTACTGGTGGATATTCAAGTGTGCTTTGGAACTTAATGTCAGCCCCTATAAAAATCTGCACTCGACGAAGCTAAGAGGTGCCTGCTCAGAAATCGAAGAGGCATTTGCTTTCTCAAAAGCTGGGCTGCTCAGAGACCACGAGGGTCGATCTCATAAATCGAAGAGGCGTTTACTTTCTCAAAAGCTGGGCTGCTCAAAGACCATGAAGGCCGATCTCAGAAATCGAAGAGGCTTGCTTTCTCAAAAGCTGGGCTGCTCAGAGACCACGAGGGCCGATCTCAGAAATCGAAGAGGCACATACTTTTCCAGCCTTGTCAGCACCTGTCACACGCACACTCAGCTTTGCGGAAATTATGGGCATTCTGTTGAAGATTTCTGGCGAAGTAGAAAACACATGAATCGTACTGTTCAATCACCCACTTCCCACACGCAACAGTAGCTCATGGGTACCACAGATAACTTTGCCAAAGTTCTCTGACAAAGTTGAGACACGTGAAGCTTGCAGCTCCCACTACATCGCTCTGACCAAGAAGGGTAAAAGAATTGCAAAGAAACAACACTAACAAAGTTTAGACACATAAATTTTGAAGGTCTAGCTACCATATTATTACCCACAAGGGTA